AAAGAACTGATTTTGGGACCTAGAACCCTCCCTTTGAAGTAGAAATTTCCAGATCTGCTCTCCCTTCCTCTTCCCTTCGGTCTGTGAGTTTCTACTAGTTGGGGGTGCGATTTTTTGGGCATTTTCGGGTAAGCCACAGCCAAGAAATCATCTCTTTAACCTTGATTTAGGCTGGGTTATGCTAATTTCTGTTTATTTCCCTAAATTTTTGGGTAGTCCGTGAGTTCCCTGCAGCTTGCCACCAGCTTCTTCTTCTCCTTGCCAAGTCCGGTTCTTGCTGGAAAATTCTGGTATGATGGCCACTTCTTTAAGCCCTAAATTAGCCATTTAATTGCTGCCTTGTGTGTGTCCGAATTGTGCCAGAAATGGGGAGGAATTCTGGTAGCATTTAGTAGCATTTTAAATGTGTTTTAAGTTTGATTAAGTAGAATTGAGCTTGAATTAGCTGCTGTGATGTTTTGTTTGAAAATCCCGTGCGTGTGAATTGTGATTTGCCAAAGTTATGCTCTCCCTGTGCTGCCGTGAGAAATGGGAAAAATTTTGGTAGATTAAGTTATGTTTTTAAGCTTGGTTTAAGTGTGAATTAGCTTGAAATGGGTTGTGGTGATTTTGGAGAGAGAATCTGTCACGCCCCAAACCGAATTCGAGGCGCGACAGACGCCATGCACTCGTGAGATGGGTCCCATAAGTGCACAAGGCTCGAAACTTATTCAAATCACAATCTGATACCATAAAATCTCAAGATAAAATTTTACAATATGCTCTGATATCATAAAATCTCCACATACACTCTAGCTTGCCAGAGCATGATTTATTTCTAAATCTATATCAATCTCGAAATGGCTAGCCTTCTAACTCGTCACTCCCCTTGGTTTCCCCATCCTCAGTATCGCTTCCTAAAATGGTGGACAAGGAAAACTATGAGATAAAATATCTCAGTAAGTAAATATGGATAGCCCTGGGTAAAACTTTTAAGCATACCAGATAAACAGTTTAATATAACCAAAACGCTCAGTGACAAAATCAGATTCAGTTCAATTGCAAAGCATTCATGACAAACCGTTCATGCAGAATAAAACTCAGTTTAGTAGTCTCATCTATAAGTCATGACCAGTGTTTAACACACTCCCACTGGTAGGCGTCAGTAATGGTACTAGTGTTTACAAACTCCTACTGGCAGGCGTCAGTAATAGTACCAGCGTTTACAAACTCCCACTGGCAGGCGTCAGTAATATTACCAATGTTTAACCTCATTGGTAAGGTTTCAGAAGTACCAGTGTTTACAAACTCCCACTGGCAGGCGTCAGTAATAGTACCAGTGTTTACAAACTCCCACTGGCAGGCGTCAGTAATAGTACCAGTGTTTACAACTCCCACTGGCAGGCGTCAGTAATGCCCAATGTTTAACCCCATTGGCAGGGTGAACCGGTTCTACAGAAATACATGTCGACATGTGCTAGCATTTACAGCTCCCACTAGCGGGCGTCAGTAATCATTACTATATCCGAGACAAAACCATGCAGGATTTACAGAAAAACCCGAATTTCACAATCAATCCCGAATTTCAGAACAAACCGGAAAAGTTCCATGCAGGCATGGATTTAACAGAAAACTCAACATTTACAGAATTCTCAGTTCATCAAAGCAGTTCAGCCAATTCCCAAATAGGCATGCTCAACTCCAGAAAAACAATGAAATTCTCATTTTCATTTCTCAATCATGCTTATTTCCAGTAAACCAATAAAATCCTCATTTTCATTCCAATCATGCTCAATTTCAGAAAAACAAGGAAATTCTCATGAAAATCATCCAAATTCTCATTTCAGTTTAAGCACACAGATGCTGATAAAATCAATTTAAAATCAATTTAAACCTTGCCACCATCTCAAAAACAGTTTAAAACATGCTTTAAAATCGAAGGACTTTACCATAATTTACTTACCTCACTAGCATAAAACCGAGCACTCGATCTCAGTGCTAATTGACAGAATGATCGGGAACCTAATCAAAACACCCCAGTAATACCGGACTATTACAAATTCAAACTGAAATCATCATTAAAATCACTCCCAATCCCGATGCTATTCCTATCAATCTCCACATGATCAAATATCTCCAAATTCATTCTTATATCACAAACTAATCATTTAAATCCCTGCTAATTATTGACCCTCGGTGTGTGAACAGTGCCTATGAACAGTACCCGTGAACAGTGCTCACGACGTGAACAATACTGCCACTTCCAAACATTAGCCAAAACACTAGCTAACTCACGGGATTTTCTCTCCAAACAATCACAACAGCCTAATTAAGCTAATTCTACATAAACCAAGCACAAAACACATTTAAAATACTACTGGAATTCCTCCCCCATTTCAGCAAAATTCGGCCAAGCACAGGGCAACACTTAATGGACAAAACCCAACAATTAAATGGGTAATTTAAGGCTTAAAGAAGTGGCCATCATACCAGAATTTTCCAGCAAGAACCGGAGCTAGCAGAGGGAGAAGGAGCCGACGGCAAGCTGCAGGGAGAGCTCACGGGCTACCTCAAAATTGAGGGAAATAAAAGCAATTAAGGTAAACCCAGCCTAGATCAAGGTTAAAGAGAGGGATTCATGGCTAGATCTTACCAGAAAAGCCGAAGGATCCACACCCAGCAGAACCCGACGGACAAGGGAGGAAGAAGCAGAGCAGATCCAGGATTTCTGGGTTGAGAGGGAAGATTCTAAGCCCCAAATCTTGTGGTTGAGCAAGAAAGAAAGAGAAATTTCAAGCCTCTCTGCTGGATTTCTCAAGAGGAGTGCGTCGGTGGCTAGGGGGGGCTTGTCGGGTGCAGGGGAGAAGAAAGAAGAGCAGATGCGCGGATAAGGAAGAAGAAAGAAAGAAAAAGAAAAAGAAAAAGCAATTGATCCTTATCCTATTTCCTTTCTTTTTAGGTCCCCCAACTTTTGAAAATTTTGCGATTAGCCCAAAATAATATTTCTTTCACGCATAAGTCCCTAATTTAATGCTAAAATACCCCAAAATTTTGGGATATTACAGAATCCCGTGAATTAGCTAGTGTTTTGGCCAATTTGTGAAAGTCGGAGTTATTGTTCACGTCGTGCATTGTTCACGTATACTGTTCACAGTGCACTGTTCACACCCCGAGAGTCAACAATTAACGGGGATTTAAGTGATTAGTTTGTAATATAAGAACGAATTTGGAGATATCTAATAATGCGGATATTTTGATTAGGTTCTTTATCGTTCTGTCAGTTTAGTACGTGAATTGAGTGCTTGGTTTTGCGGAGTGAGGTAAGTAATTTATGGTAATGCCCGTATTGTTTTAAAAGCATGTTTTGATTTGTTTTTGAAGTGGTGGCGGGACTAAACCCATTTTACACGAGCATGACTGATTTGAAGTGAAATGTTTTATGCTTTTCATTAAATTGAGCATTAAATTGAGCATGCCTACTTGAAATTTAAGTGACTGTCCTGATGATCTGAAAGTGATTGTGAATTGTGATTTTCCTGTTAACTTCTGCCTGTTTTGTCTCCAATGTGGTCATGTTATTCGTGACCCAGCTAGTGGGGGAGGTTATAAACACTAGCACATGTCGGCACATGTCGATATGTTATTCGTGACCCCGCTAGTGGAGGAGGTTACAAACGCTAGCACATGTCGACATGTAGTGATAGAGCCGGTTCGTTCAACCCAGCTAGTGGGGGTTATACACCAGCAAATCGTGGCCCTGCTAGTGGGGATTATACACTGGCCGTGACCTATAGAGGAGACGTCTATTTCGTGCCCGTACTGTATCTGTTTTTCGTGATTGCACTTGTTGGCATGCTATAAGTTTAATTAAGGGCAATCCATATTTTACTTACTGAGTTATCTCACCTCGTTTTTCTTATCCATCATTTCAGGTAGTGTGCCCCAAGACTCGGAAATCAAGGGGAGTGACGTGAAAAAAAAAGGCTAGCCACTTGAGATTTGACATAGATTTTAGATACATGTACACCACGCTCCTGTAAGTTAGATTTTAATTGGAAATTTTATGGTATCAAAACTGATTTTGTTCAGTAAGTTCCGAGCCTTGTGCACTTGTGGGACCCGTTTCACGAGTGCACGGCGTCTGTCGCGCCTCGGATTTGGGTTCTGAGGCGTGACAAAAACATATTCTTAAGATCAGTACAGCCCTATAACATTCAAGAACATTGTCTGAAGATTACTTTAAGTGGAAAAGAAGTAGTTATACCAGGATATTATGAAAACTAGTATCTACAGTGTATACATCTCCATTGGAATTAAGTATGAAGAATACAAAACAGAATTCTTTCATGCTTTTATAGATACAGGATGTGGGATATGCTTGGCAAAAATCAATGTATTTCCAAAATATTATTGGAAGAATACCTCTCAAACTATGAAAGTTGTGGCCATAGATGGAAGTATTATTCAATATAAAACAATAATAAAAAGAGTTGCTGCCATAATTGGTGGAACTGAAGTTATAATTCCCTGAGTCTATGAAAGTAACAAACATGAGAATGATATTCTATTAGGAAACAATTTCCTAAGTCAATTCAAGTAGTATGTTCAAACTGCATTATATGTAAAATTTTCTACACCTTGTGGACATTGGCTTTACGCCTCTAGAATTTATAATGCTTACACCGGAATAATAAAACCATTAAATTTTTATAGCCAACGTGGTGAGAATAATAGAAAAATTTGATCAAAAGAGATTAAAAAACCAATGTTAGCATTATGGGATAATGAAAAAAATACAAGAAGAAATAACCCTAGAATCTATTTAAGAAGAATTAAGAAGTAATTATGGAGAAGATCCTACAAAACTATGGGGGATTGATAAAACTTACACTACTATCGAATGGATAAACCCAAAAACTATCATTAGAGTCAAACCAATAAGATATAGCCTTAAAGATAGAGAAGAATTTGATAAACAAATTCAAGACTTAATAGCCTAGAAAATTATACATGTCTCAAAGAGTCCGTATAGCAGTCCTGGCTTTATGGTAAGAAATTATAATGAATTAAAAAGAGGAAAAGCTAGAATGGTTGTCAATTATAAACAACTTAATAGCAAAAGTAAATTTGATGGTTAGTTTATACCATATAAAGAAACTCTAATCAATAGCATTAGGGGAAAGAATATGTATTCAAAGTTTGATTGCAAATAAGGATTTTGGCAAATTAAACTAACTCCTGATAGTATCCCACTAATAGCCCTTAATGCCCCTACAGAACACTACGAGTGGTTAGTAATGCCTTTTGGATTAAAAAATGCAACTCAAATATTTCAAAGAAGGATGGATAGATGGATAATGCATTTTCTTCCATCAAGAAATTTTGTATAGTTTATGTAGATGACATATCTTGTCTAATAATAAGAAAGAACATTTGTGTTATTTTAAGAAATTGGCATATTTGCAAGAAACATGGAATATTACTCTTTGACAAGAAAGCAGAGATATGAAAAACCAAAATTGAATTCCTTGGATTAACAATAGATTCCACAAAAATAGAATTACAACCTCACATTAGTGAAAAGATTTCGATGTTCCTAGATAAACTAGAATCTAAAGAAAAAACTCAAAGGTTTTTAGGAATACTCAATTATGCAGAACAGTTTATTCAAAACCCAGCTCAATTAAGACATCTTTTCCAAAGTTGCTCAAGAAAAAGGAAAATAAACAATGGGAAATTTATCATATTAATCATGTGAAAAGAATAAAAGATTATTACAAAAACCTTCCTAGGTTACAATTGCCTAAAGAAGATGAAGAGTTAATTTTAGAATGTGATAGCTCAGATTTTTATTGGGGAGCTGCTTTAAAAAATTCTCAAGAAAAAGTTTGTAGATATTCTAGTGGTACATTTAAAGATGTAGAAACAAGATATCATTTGAATCATAAAGAATTATTGGTTATTAAAAATGGAATAAAAAAGTTTAGTTTCTTCTTATTACCAAAACATTTTAAGGTTAGAAATGACAATACTTAAGGGATTTATTTTTAATAAATTACCTTTAACACCAGAATATAAAAGGTTAAATAGATGACAAACTTTCTTTGTAGAATACGATTTTGAAATGGAACATGTCAAAGGAACTAATAATTATCTTACAGATTTCTTAAGCAGAGAATGAGCTAATGGATGTAATCCTAAAACTCTAAAAATAAAGGGAAAGACCTTATTCTCAAAGGTCAAGAGATACTCATTGAGGGCAATAGCCAAATAAGAGAAGGCCAAGAAATAATTAATGAAGGGCATAACCTTATGGATGAAGGCCAAGAAAAAGTTATTAAAGGCCATGAGCTATTAAATAAGAGACAAGATGCCCTTGAAGAAGTCAAAGAGTTGGTAGAAAAATTAATAAGTTTCGGAGTAATTACTACTGTCGGAATCAGCTCTAAAGAATCTAGTCAGATGGCAAATAAAAGCTCCCAACAAGAGCTAAAAAAAAAATTTGAACAAGGTGATCCTTCAGTAGGGTTACTTGGAGAAAGTTCAAGGAAGTTTGACTATTATGTCAAATAGTCTCCTTATAAAATATCAGTGTCTCAAGCTGAAAAGTTGGCTATTCAAAATGTCGAAAGCCATAACTTTTGATCGGATTACTCAAGAAAGAAAGAAAAGAAAACTGCAATAATAGATACCTTGTCAAAAATGACAATGAGTGAAGAATATCTGCAAGAATATCGCAGAGTTTGTAAAATAGCATATTCAATGAGGTCCACTAAGAATTGCCATCCTATCCATGAAGGGATTTATTCGAGAATTAATTTCATGCAGGGTGCAAACCCAAAAGCAATAAAAGAGTTATTCAATTACAGTTTTGTAAACTGTATTTATCTCTCAAAGGATAATGAAGAAGTCTCAGAACTTCCAGAAGTTATACACAAAGGAGTGAAAGACTTCAAAACTGGCAACAAAGCTCAAGGGGTAGTATTTGTCAAAATCTACTCTAAAGTACTAGAATGGGAGAAATTTCAATATTTCCTTAGCCATCATATAGTTCAAATTGGAATCTAGTTTAAGAAAATCAAGGTAGAAGCAAATGAAGATCAAATTTTTCAAGAATTTGAAGAGTCTTTGTGGGATTGAGTTCATCCAAGAGAGACGAGCTCTAGGATTTAAGGTTTTATTCTGAACCTTTGACAAAATGATAGAGATGAGGAAGACATGGACATATGGCTTTGCCAAAGAAATCTCAGTGTTATCCACTAGTGCAAGATTAATGACAAGCATCAGCCTGTTCAAAATATAGCAGAAAAGAAAGGAAATCTTTAAGAATATGGTCCAGCTAGTAAAGCAGTCCATAATAGACTATGCAAGCTGTTAAAGCATGACAGTCACTGTGGTTTCTGCTACAAAAAAGAATTTGCAAAAGGAAAAGCTGAAGCCCCATGTGACGAAGGGACCACCCCCTTAGACAGTGAAGAGGATCTCATCATCCTTTAAAGAATCCAATGCAAAAAGACATAAGTGCTT